GATTTGCCTTTGTAGTTAGTAACCATGTAAAGTAAACAAACTGAAAATTAGGCCTGGCAGTGGTAAAATAGCAAAGGCATATTTCCAAGCTTCCACGAATCTTCTAATCTTCTCCGGAACGATTTAACGTAATCAGCGACGCTCGAATGATTTGCTCAACTATCGATTTTTTTTGAGCTTCTAGGATAGGAAGCGTGCACTCTATTGAGCACCCTCAATTTGTTATGCAAACACATTTAATCTGTGAAGATCTATGGCATTTTCTCCTTTCGCTTAGGTAGTTTTTCTGTGCAACTCGAGCAACTTTATGGCTCTCGACGAGCAAACTTAATACATGAAGCACTTACCACTGTGTTATCATTTATCAAGTTGAAGGCAGCCAATAAAACCCATTCATGGACAACGTCGTCAAACTCCCTCAGGCACGTCCGTATAGAAAGTATTCTGCAAATAGATAACCCATAGCTTGTTTTCGTTTCACTGCGAGCTAATGGTTTAGCTTACCATAACTAACTCCTTATTGAATCAATACGGAAACATTTCCAGATCATTTGGATCGTCATACTTGTCCCATACAGCTCTGACAGAGAACGGGAATTGTCGTAAGGGAAAGGCTGACATTTTAAGTGAAGTAACGTGTAGAACAAGTATTACTGTTGCATTCTAACATTTAATTAGCATCAAATTGAAATAATCTACAATATTACGGTGGACTACACACTCTATAATTACAGAACATGAAAAAATCATCGGGTGACTATGTGTCGAATAGTAGAATCAATGTCATAATCTTTGGGTAAATGCACCACGTCGTTGTAACGTCAACGAAAATCAGCGAAAATGATCTAGAGTCGCATTAAGATTTGCCACCGCCGAATTCAGCCAATGGAGGCGTTCTAAAATGAATCGCTCTGAAAAGCAGCGACGCCAAACGGACGTATTTTTGCTCATTAATATAAAGCGCCCAAGGCAACGCGAGGTTAAGCCTTGCTCGATCAGCTTCAAAATCACTTCGTACTTCCCTGGCAATGTCATAAGAGTCTTCGTTGATGACACTAACTCGTCCTTGTTGCTTACTGTACTCAATGAGGCATCCTTTTGTTAACGTTTCCGTTTATCGTAGAAATAGGCTCAACAGCTTGGAATATATGTACAACAACGCGGTGGCTTTATGATGCTATTTTCAAAATGTTCATGAACGTAACCCATATATAAAAGCTAAACATTGTCAGTGTTAAATGCACATTACGCGCAAATGTGCCGCTAAACATGGGGCGGGGGGGCTTTGAAGTCAGCTCTGTTAGGCTGTACACAGCTTCCAGGCAGTATTCAGGCAGCTGGGCAACTGATGCGCGTAGCAACTGCAGTCGGTCCGCTTCGTTTGTATATGCTGCCCCTGGGCTTCTGTTCGTTCCATTCACGGTGGACTCTCTGCAAAACGAAGGTGTCGAAACCGTTATAGGGAGCTGTGTAAAAAAGAAAGGCTCGTAGCAAATGGGCTTAAATAGGGGTAAAACAAACAGGCCAGCTGGAGCCATTGGGCTCGACCTTTAATTTAATGGTTGTGAGGCGTTGTAAATCGTGCTTGGACAATTTTTACGAACGTCGCGATTGGGTCGATAATTGAGACAACTATTTAAGCTGCTGGATGTGGTCCGTGATATCACATTATTGCTCGTGTGTCAATAAGGATTATCATCGATGATTTGGCCTTAACACAATAAAATAGAAGAGTAATAGTGTTTTGAGAAGGCTAATACATATATATATATATATATATATGTATATATATGTATATATATATACGGGTCAGAAATTTAATGCTATAGGTGCTAATTAAATTTCAAAAGGGTTCTATGATACGGCTATATAATTTATTCGCATTTCGTAGAAGTTCTGTTGAAAGCTAAAGAAGCAAGCTGATCATCTCGTTTTCTAGCACGATTTCACCCGTCCCAATACCATATATTTTCAAGGGCAAAACGAAAGCAGGGGTCTAACTTTATACACAAAATAAGGTAAGCAAACCTCAGAGTAGAGCTCAGTTATACCTATATTCGTCAATTTCAATTAAGGCATCATACTTCTATACTCTTTATGCTACTTTAACAGCATTTTTGCTTTTGACGACTTTATATTCAGAAAACATCGTTCGAGCAAAGCAGTATTGTTGATATATACACTAAATTGCTGTTAATCGTAAATTGAAATCTACCATGGATACTCCAAATACCAAACGATAGTTGCACAGGGGAGTCAATCTGGACGGCTTTGAAGGACGGGGTACATATTGGTGGCGTTACTTGTCTTTTCTCTGGAAACAGTGTCTGAGCTATTCAAAAACCGGCGCCCATTTACGTACTAAAGGTTCACGCAAACCAATGATAGATATACCGCAATCTTTGATCTGCCTTACTTAAGAGCAAATAAATAAAAGAGACATCGGTTTCGAAGAGCCATAGCTATGGGCCCTTTCTAGAAATAGCATTTTCCCTCTAGTCTCAATGAGCACAAAATCAGTATTGCCCTTAAAACCAATGACTGTTCTGTATAATTGAGCTAATACAAAAGTGTCTCTAGCTAATCTCGCAATGGGATGATTTGTGATGCGCTTACTTTGGCCATATTGTAGAAGAGTCTTAGACCGGTTGTCTATAAGACCGGTTTTTCCAACGCTAACGTTAAGCAACATTTTGGCTCATATGTGTCCATGGCTTCACTTCCCCTATATACGTGTGTATATATGGGTGTGGGTGTGTATGTGTATGTGTATGATATGTTATGTTTTCTGTTGATATATATATATATATATATATGATAAATGTACAAATCGTATCAATAACTAGTGTAAGTTGCTCCATTTGTTCACGAACTATTTGTGTTCAGCCTGAAAAAATAACGAAAATACGATCAAGTATATTTATTTAATGATTTAACTTAAAAATATTAACTTGAAATTTTATTAACTGAATGATTGGTCATATTAATTAACATCTCAGCGGGATTTTTCCTAGTATATTGCATTACAATAGACAATTGTTTTTGCATTGAACGTTTCACTTTTCTCACCGCAAATGATCGGGGTGCTTACACAAGCAAACATTGCTTTATTGTTAATAATATAAGAATACTACTACTAACAATGGTGGAACGTTTGCCGTCCTCGAAAGCACATACCGTCGACTTATAATGCCATTCAACGTCCTGGTTCGCATACGAGTTAAGTTTCTTACTATTCCTGAAAAATTATTACTGAAGTGTTACCGTGATAGGGTCAGCGTGTGAACAGGAAGCATGCCATAAAGGCAGTACGCTATGAAACTCATCCTCGGAACAAGGAAAGTAGAGGCAAGCATTTATAGGATGGCTTCGTCTATAACTCATGTTAGAATGATCTGTTTGTTAGATTTCTTAGCACAAACGATAGCAGTCACATGGAGAACGATCTTTTGTACAAAGTGTCAACTACATTTATGACGAACCATTCGAACAGCTCAAAGTGAAGTACAAGGAAAAGCCACTCGTATGACCAATGCCAATACCCCTTTCAAGACAACGCTACGGTCCTAATACTGCCTTGTAGATTTGGATCTACTAGGTGTTTCAAGGTGTCAACGTGTATGTCGTACTCTACTTCATTTACAGATCCTTCGTCATTGGAGGTGTTGGCGAGCCTCTTCGTAATGGAGACTAGGTTAGATATAACTGAAATGAAAGAGTCTCTAAATAACAGCTATCCACGTAAAAATGAGGAAATTGCAAAAAAAAAACTCATGCGCCATTTAGCACCCGCGCACGTTAATGACAGCGTGAAAACGTATATATATATACGTTTACTTGGGAAATAATTTCGTCGTTTTAAGGAACAACACTAGCGCAATATTTATATTTAGTAGCCACGTACGTTTAACCTTTTTAAAGTCTCGTATTTTTATAGTTACTATGATGGTTATTTCTAATCGTTTCATGTATGGCGACGTATCAGGACTAGACACCAAAAGAAAACTCACCACTTCCTGTTCGTTGAACGACGTGACTTTGTGACTAAATGTATGCACTTTCGCTATCCGATCCGAACGTGAATACGGGAAAGGCCATAAACACTAGATGCGTCGATATAGTTTATAGATCATAAGTAGCAGCGTCGACGAAGGGTTCAGCGCGAACTTATTTAGGAACCGGGGCCATTTCCGCCGTCGTTGCCCCTATCACCCGCGACTGTTACTTGAACTACCTTGCAAGGGAGAACATTTCGTCAAGAGAACGCCGGCTGAAATGGCAGAACCTAAAATTGATCTTATTTTATCGGCACTCTACTACCGTGGGTGTGTGTGCGCTTCGAGATGATATCTGCGCCTTTAACAGCAGACTACTAAGAAGCTTGAGGTAGTGGTTATTCTAAATGGGACTGGCCGGAAAATTGCTGACACCTAATCAACCTTTACTAGTTTTGGCGTAACGTTTGCGTAAAGTAGACATACAGATTGACTCGTGCACGTTTATAAATACTACGCTTGAAGCCTTTAAGAGACTATAACGATACACTAATGTATTATTTATCCCTGCACCATCTATATCTCACATCACGATTAGCAATAATTAACGCATTAATAATAACGATAATAAAATAAAGACATAAACTTAATTCAAGTATATCTGTAATAGAATTGCTGAACCCTCTTATACCTTTGTTGCCTTCCTTGTTCGATGCACATCCCAAAAGATTTTCAACTTGATTAGCTCGGTGAGTCTTGTACTCCACAGATGAGTAAGTTAGTGATTTGTTATTCCATGCAGTTCACAAAAAAGCATCGTCGTATAAATTGTTTTCCCTTGTTTACCTAACATTTTCAGTTATAATCACCTCGTTAAACAAGGGCTCGCTTCCGCTAGGAACTACATAAGGTTATATATATATATATGTCTTGGTGCATAGCCATTGGCCCTTGCAACTATGTTGTGTAACAGGATTTCTTTGATTCGTTCTCGCATCTGCGTAGCATTGCTAACGGCGGCCTAAATAGTGTACTTTATCCCGGAACTTGATTGAATATCTGTGATATGGGACGACTTACGAAGCTGACACACCGTTGACGCGCAGGTAAGCTCCTTGATGCTCGAGGCTAAACCTCGATGGTTAATGGGAAGATGGTCAAGTGGTCAAATCATAGTTAGCAAGACCCACCATACTGGTAACTTTTGAACTGAGCATATTAATCTGAAAAGGGCAGTTAATAGCGCGAGACTATGAGAGAGATAAGACTTTGATAGAGGAACGCTAAATATGGCCAGTACTTTGTAACAGATTCGTGTCATTAAGGACAGATCTGCACTGATTGTTTTTCAGCTTTTATGGAATTTCCGTAAAAACATATTTTAGTGAGAATCGCAGGATCACTTTTATTAAGCCTACGTATGTAATATCGTATCGCGACGACTCAATCACCGACTCAGGTAAAGTTGCATTTCATTGCCTACTATTTGCTAGGTATGCTACTGATGACCTAACTTTTGTTCATGTTTGTTGAAAGTAGATATTTAATTTCCTAATAAATCTTCGTCATTATTGAAGAATAGTGATTGTCAGCGCTACCGCATTAACTGACGATACAGTGACTCGACAAGTCATTAATTTCCGTGAAACCGCTTTGTAGTAGAACTACCAGTTCCAGCTACGTAAATACTATCTTCTATAGTCACGCTATATCAGTTTAAAGGGTGCATACATATTTAAACAGTACTAGCAGCAGCAGGTATAAGAGATGGCGGAAGAAGAGAGCCAAGAGCCAGACGACACACGGCCGCACAGGCCATACTCGTTCTCGCGGGTCAGTGATCATATCAAACCGCAGTTTCACTATGATAGTACGTAGCATGCGCTATGCAAGCGGACAGGAGAAAAAATGGGAAAAAGAATTGGCAACGAAAAAACCTAGTTTGAACGTCGTTTGCTGTTTTTTTTTCCTACAAATGCCGCCTTAAAAGCCTCCCGTGATTTCGGCCATGGCAACTCTCGGTGACGACGCCAGCGGTGATAGTGGAGTTGATCGTTAATATTCACCCATCGCACTAACGGTAAATATCCATTGCCCTGTTGTGTGCGACATTTGGAATTAGATACGGCGCTGGAGACGAGAGCTCCGCAGCGGGAGCAGAACCAGCATCAGCGGTGACGACGACCTGCAGACAATTGGCAGGCCGTAAGTATTTGGTCTGCTTGCCGGAATGGCGTTGGCTGGCGCTTGTAGTTGGGTCCCGTACGAGGAACAGGCTGCTGGGCAGTCCTCTGTCTTACCTTGAGCATAGTTCTTACCGATCCTGATTAGGCCGCCGTTTCACCGCATGGTCCAGTTCGCGGTACGCCAAAAGAGGGCAACGGACAGCTCTTTGTCCTGTTTTGACTGTACATTGGCGCTGCCGTCACTAACGAGCATCGCCGCTCAGAGACACTCGATTGCAAAATAGGTCGCTCGCCTTGTGACCATGCTTCATCAGTTAACTGAGGCTGCTCGGCGACATTGGCAGCAGCCGGACATAATACAAACACTTCTACATACCCCTTTTGTAATTAATTCACTTGACTCAACAACCCGACCCAGAAGGTTGTTGCTGTAGTAGCAAAGATCTAAACAGTAAATGGTTTGCCAATGAAAAGGTGTGCTTCAGGGACTAGCCAACCAAGGAGCTAACACGAGCTTTCGCCTTCAGACAGGTCCTTTGAACATACACACGCGGTTTGGAATATAAAACAATAAAGATCTCGTCGTGAACTAGTCAAGGTTGGGCCTGAGCTGTACAGGTAGACAAGTTTGATCTTCAGGCGTGTAGTAAGGGGGAGCACCTTGGGACGGAAATAGTGCAGGACGTCATACCGACGACTGCGTTTATAGGCGCGAGACGTGGTACTCAATGTAAGGCTTGCGACTAGTGAGATTTAGGGGATAAAGCGGGAACAAATTAATTCTATAGCTGGAATAATACCTAACGAAATGAGCTTGACACGATTCACGAATAACAGTATGAAAAGGAACGCTTACAAAGCATGATAGTAGATGTTTTATAAACATTTTATTTTTATGTGAAGACAGAATTGTTTAGTACTAGCCGGTACAGACTTCCTAGCTGTGTCATGCGAAAAATTCGGTCAATCATTATAAGCATACGACGCTTTAAATCGAGTCACGTCTTGCTATTTTCGCTGTGTAGTTTTTAGTTGTTTAGAACATTGAAGCTGACAAACGGCTTACCTCTGATTAACAGGTTGTCTTGGTTTACCTTTGTTTGATTGAATAAATGGATTAACGCGGCAAACCGCGTGTTCTCCTAGTGCGGCTCCTGATGGATTAAATGAAAACACTGACAGTAAATAGCAGTTCGATTTAGATTTCAGTAAACGAATGATGTCCAGTATAATTAAATGCATTTTTTTGCGGCTTTTCGATCCATATCCTTCTAGCTAAATTCGCAACTAAGTAGCTATCCTAACCTACGCGAAATATTTCTTCATTTTCATCTAGAAACACCGAAGATCGTCAACCTGGCTATCCGTTTCGAGCGTCTGATTTGGGCTAAGTATATACACAAAATATCGAAAAGAATCCTATTATTTCCGCCAATCTTATCAAAGGCAAGTTTAGACGGGCCTTACTTCTACCCGCACCCTAAACTTGAACTTGTTGCGATGGTTCTGTTGCACCACTCGGGTAAATTCCCGTTTCTGTCATAGTCTCGTTTTCTAAATTATTCCTTCACCATGTTGTCCGATTTTAGCTGTTCGATTGTGTAATTATATCACATTCGCTGCACTGTTTCATTCGTTGATTGTCCAGGTGGTAAAATTTAGGTATTTTCCTGCCAGGCTTTACATGTCCTGAAATCTTGCAGTAGGCGTTATGTTCGCCTGTGTTGGTCTTATGCTACCATTGCAGTTACGTGTACTTACTTAAGGAGGAATAGAGTGATTATGAACGTCAACTATATGTAAATAACGACCGCGGCGCGCTTTGTCTGACGTCTAGAACAACTTTGTAACAGTTGTCTTTGAAGACACTGCGTTTGAAAGTAATTTCTTTTTGGTTTTACCGTAAAATCTGTTTTGTTCTCTAGGAGGGTCAACTATATACAAAAATGTATTCACTTTTAGAGTATAGCATTTTAAGTATAATGGGTACTACAATCTAAAAGGATTGCGCTGTGAAAGTGAGGTACTAAGAAGAACAAAAAACTAATGGATATTTATCAATGAAAACAAAAGTGTAAATTTATCATTATTGAATATGGAGCACGCTCAGAGAATTAGAGTAAATTATCCTTTTTTTATATAATATGGATTACTGTCGGGTGTGTTCTTCTCTGTATTCTAGGCGGGGGATCATAGAAGGAGCGAAAAGACAACATAGTTTACTATTATTTAGCTTGTAATTGCGCAGCCTGGTTCCAGAAACGTGTTTAGCTGGACCTAACCCGCACCAGCGTGTGTATAGTATGTCGCACACCTCTACAATCTCATATAAGATGCTGAAGTGCCTGCTGAAGTGCCAACTGTACGCTGAGATCTGTGCACTAATGCCATTCAGAAGCCCACGGTTTAATACAACTAATCAGACTAAATCGGGGGGTCATCCTTTATAACTGACGCCTGCGTTAAGTACTTATCTAATATCACATGCTATTAAGAACCTTAATTATACCGGCATAGGCTAACATTGGTTCCCTGGACACCCATTTCTGCCACTGAAAGATAAAGGGCATGAAAGCTGTCCCCTAGCGGGAGAACAAAGGATTTGAATAGGGTCAGTAACTGATGTTGGTACCCACTTACAATTATACTAGATCGGTGTCACTTCGGGAACTGTCTCCATAAATACAACAGTGCCGCTGTTCACTACACGATGACTGGTGTAGTAACCTCTATTTAAGGTATAGAGTTTTAAATAAATTTATTAGATTGTAAAAGCGTCCGTTATGGGACGTTTCATGCGAAAACAATTGTGGAAAACTGGGCAGTGAGTATACTTACTTCACTTGAGAACAGTTATTATTATTTACCTTTTAACAATCTTCTCACAACCCGAATAAGGCTCAGACGGCCACTGTCAGAACCTTTCGAAACGATGCTAGTCACAAACATTGTGCTTTTGAAATAGAGTCTTAACACATTAACAATACAGGACCCAATACACGTACATACGTAGCAACAAATAAGCCCTGCTGCCACAATGCGATATCTTGCTGATACCTAACCACGTGCCAAAAAAGCGAGAAAAATCAGGCTTGCCTCCAACACCGCAAGCAACATTACGCGTCCTTAATTTCCCTACAAATAGGTCATTTCATATTTACCATATTAGTTGCAGGAGTCGTCATAATGTGTGGAAAGGCTACGATGAAGCTACGAAAGGCTAATTCGTTACGTAGGACAGAAGATCTCAGAATTGTCGCTAGACACAGCTTTGGCCTATTGGAACGTCTCGTGTAAAATTCCGTAGAAGAATCATACATATACATACATATATATGTACACATGTACGCGGAAGGTTACTCGTGTTTACAAAATAAAAAAAAAACACAAAATATTGCCTTTGAAATTGCGTTATCTATATGCTGATGTAATCCTTCTTAGGTTTAGTAACTCAACAAACTCTTAAAGTCATATTAGAAAAATCTAATGATTTCAACGGATGACACGGAAGTCGAACATCTCCAATTCCATTTTCCATATCTAGGGGCCTTCCATCATGAGGAATAAATGGCAAGGCGTGGCGGGGTGGTGTTGTTGTAGTCGAGCAGGATCTTTGAGAGCTTTGTTGATCCTCCTTATTCTACGATTACCAACACATCGGCCGGTACCTGTCATTTATGATATTGTAGAAGGCAACCACCGCTTCAGCGGACCACCGAACAATGCTCGCAGGCCGGTTCAAGCATGCGTATAGGCCTGGCTGTGTCTTCTACAACGTGGGTGTGTCAGTCGAACTGACGGTTTCAACAAGTGCAAGATACGAAGAGATTGATCTCTTCTCGTCTATAGTCAACGCATAATTGCCGACTGGCGTTCACGTTCGTATATATATCCATCGAGATATTAGTTTGCACACATGCCTTATTCCTTCGATTCTTTTTTAGCATATTTTCTTGCATAATGCCTTCGAATATGCGGGGGTTTGCTACTGATACTTCGATTAGTCCGCTCGATCAGTTGGAGGTTTAACGTTTAGCGGCGACTAGCCAGTATACGAAATTCTCTTATAATTCCATTATATCGCTATATGGCTATACTGCTCTATATGCTGATTTTTTAGAAGATAAAACTACAGTTTACGCTAACTTACTGGTCTGATACACAGACTTGTTGTGACTTCTAATAGACAACCAGATTCGGTGACAAAGTACGCAAAAGTTTAGCAATGGCACGAAGCCCGAGGAAAAGTAACTAGGACCAGTTACTGATTGGTGCTTGACGATTATACTGCTTGTACATCTTGCTACAGAACGTTCATCAACTCAATGACCAATTCACTCTCCTACCCACGCTGATGTCAAATATAGCAAAGGGTTGAAGAGTCATTAGATACGGTTTCCTATACGCACCTCTGATTGTTCACAGGTTATCGGTATTCGCGCAGTAAACAATGGCAGCCAGTCAAGAATTATTCTTCGGAATGACGAAACTAATCTCGATAAAATTCTTTTATAGCCTACATAAGTTATAAGTCTAATGCCAAACAGTCACCAGCCTCCATCATAGCCAGTGGTACCTGCTATATTCGAGTGGAAAGCAACGAATTGATTCGGCATAAAGATGAATCACGGACTGCCCAAACAGTTATCTATCCAGGCAGCGATATGAGCGAGCAGGCGACACCCGTGCGCTGGAATATGACCGCTTCTTGTATGTAGTTTATGGCGAAAATAGCTGCAGCAGCAGCAGCAGCAACACTAGGAGTCCTATATCGTACTATTTTTTTAGTTTTTTATGGATGATCTTCTGTATATAGAATAATCGCTGAAGGATGTCTCGTCGTATCTTTCGCTAATCGCTAATTTCGGTGCTGAATGCCGACATCACACAACATTGGAATGAACTAACTCAACGATTCTTACGCACAGACGTTTTCCCGCACCCAAACTCATCATATGGTTGAGGTCCTCTTTTTCCCACCCGCTGCGGCCGGCCAACACCATGTGTTGTTTAGTGGCTAGATGCTGTCGACATCAATGACGATGGCTTTGCTCTTCCGGTCGACGTCTCGTGCTTATGTGCCATTGGACGACTTGATCGCGTCCTGCTCAGAGGACCTTCTCAGTTCTCGGGTCCTACTCTACGCCCGATTCTTTACCACACGTTAAGTGTTTGGTCGGTCCCATGCATGCAGTTTGTGTGTGTGTGTATCGGTGTGTTTATATGTGCTTGGGCGTATGTTCTCTGCCTTAGAACTTTGTTGTTTCGTTAGCCGCTGCAACGGTCGTAGCTTCGTTAATGCTGCAGTTACTACTGCCGTTAAAGCTGTTGCCATTGGCCATTGCGCGCCAGGACAGATGTAAGTGGCTTCGTAACTGCCACAGCATCCGACTGCGGTAGGCCAGCGTTCGTGGCGCCGTCCGGCTGTAGTGGCGGGTGCCTACGGTGAGGCAAGTCTCGTGCGCGAGTACTTGCGCTGTGGCGTCTTTTTGCTGTTACCGCTGCTAGTGTCCTCAGTTTAGCGAGCTTGTAGCAAGCAATCGAAAGCTGTAGTTTTTGCCGCTGGTGGCCAGCTATATACAGCGCGGTGGCCACTATATCAGGTCACGCAGTGGCGGTCTTTGTGTGTATGACGCTTGTCGTTTAGGCTGCGGACTCTGTTTCTAATGGCTACTAGTTGGTATTGCTCGATCGACTCTTACTTACTAGTAGCGTTGGGTTGTGGCTGGTATTCGGAAAGGAACTCGCTTTGTAAAGTTGACTAGAGGCGACTAGCTAGGTAGCTGTGTTGTTTGGTAACGAGTAGCGTATAGGCCACTCGGATCAGCCCGGCTGTGCCGTTTGTTGGCCTGTATAGCTTATGTTATTAGGCTCCCGATCGGCTTGCCTTGCTTCTCTGGCTGCCTATGAGCGTACCAGCCGATCTATTGCCATTCACCGTTCTAAAGTCCCGCTCTGGTTCGAGTGTGCCACTGTCTTCTCAGGCACTGCGAACGAGCAGGTGGTCCGGCAGCGATTGCCGCAGGAGATCGCGTCTTGTCTCTATGTTGCATGTGTGTTGAGGCCCTAGCGCTTTCGGCAGCGTTGGCCATCAGGAACCGGCGGCTGGTTGCTGCATGTTTGGCTTTGAGTGTGTGTCAATCCTCGACATTGAGCTTCGACAAAACGGCAAGAAGTTTTACGTCAGCGAATTGACGCGTAAACGAATCAGGCGCTGTGTGATACGTCAATTTTTCTGTCTGATCATACGATACGGTAAAGGTTGTGCGCCTTTGTTGATTTCAGGAAGCTGATTTGAGAAAAATAATCAAATCGTATCTGCTTGTGCCACTGACTTTTTTAACCGACTACAACACAATCAAGAAAGGAATCGTTCTATGTATATTATATAGCCTTCGCTTTGTATCAGAAATCTTTTAACTGAGTCCTATTTTTTTTTTACCGTTTTTCAGGGAACAGCAACGTCACTCAAGTGAGTTCACCTGATGGCATAGCGATAAGCAGAAAGAAAGTCTTCGAAATCGTTTTCGGGACACGTTTTCAGGAAAATTTACGACTGCTCAGTTAAGGATATGAATGAGACCAGATAATGTGACTGTCGACCGTGTGTCAGGATATAATGTGCGTCGTTCGTTGCGAGTGCCCTTGAAAAGTGAGTACAGTGGTAGTAACGGTGATTGTTGTGCGTCCTTGTGGAAGAAGGAAAGTTCGTCTTTCAACGGGCTTGGACTGTATAATTGGCCTCTCGAGGTGCCGCGCGTCCGTGGTGCCTCGAGATGACGATGCCTATGGGTACCAATGCCTCAGTGGAACATGGGGTGTGTTTGAGCAGGTGGTCTGCTAGAGCATCAAGGGGCATGAGCACATCAGGAGGTCCAGATCGGCCGTACGACTTAAACTGCCTCAAAGGTGACGGCGTTGATGAAGGCCATCTTCATAATAGATTCACGATTGTACCTTATAATCGAAATGATTACCTCCTTTGTAAATTACCCCCGATATTAACGTTGATCGTGGTTTTAATAGCGTGCACAACCGCCGTCCCTACGCTTGCAGCTCCAAGCAGCTCGAATGAGGTTCGGATACCCTATACTTCCAGTGTATTTTCCGCCGTGTTCGCCAGCGTTCCCTTTTCCAAAATAACTACGACAACCGTAGGAAGCAGTAACAATAGACGGGCGATAGCAGATAGCAATGGCAGCACAGATACAGAGTCATCAAAAGAATCTTCAGCATCATCTGATGATTATGATTCGATCGATGACGACCCTGCAGGATTTTGGACTTACTTCTTACGGCCTGGTTTCGCCTCTCAGAGCGACTCGCAGATAAAAGAATCAACAAACGCTACTGATGAAAGGGTGCCCTATCAAAAAGGCCAATGCAAAGATGGACTTATTTTGCCTGCCTGGAGACCTCTGGAGCCTCTCTCGACAGGTGACCGCTGGGCTCGCGGTATACTGTACTTCCTAGGATTAGTTTACATGTTTGTGGGCATTTCAATTATTGCCGACCGCTTCATGGCAGCCATCGAGGTTATCACCTCATTAGAAAAACAGGTGAGTGGCAATTAAGAAGAAGAATCTTAAGCACAAATATATGTGCTTATAGATATGATTCGTAAGTAAAATAAAATATGATTCGTAGGAGAGAAGGCGAGGTTTTTCACTTAAATACATTTCATTGCGGAACTTAAACACGCCCACATAAGAATGAGGTGGCTATGGATATACAGCTCATTTGTCAAGGATTTAATCCGATGTTTCGTACTTGATTTAGTCTAGTGACAATATATATTCGTCTGTTTGTTTTTTGCATAATATATAGGACCAACACACGCTAATCACTTACTGTGATTATCGACAATCTAATTTGAACAAAATCTGGTATGTTGGAATTTACCGGGTAGTTATGTTAAATACTATAAACGCTTTACAATCATTCTATTTTTAACGAAAAATAAACAAATTATTATCGGTGGATAATTAATTACTACAGAATACCTATATATTCATCTACATGTAAGACTGCCATTTTTAATCATATCAAAACACGTCTTTAGCACTACGTTATGAATGATACTTCGGCAAAAAAAGTTTGGATTAACGCCAACATTTTCTCCTGATGTATATGTATGTCTTCATTACGCTCTATGCGCGTTCTGGTCTTATTTAGTCTACCGCTGTCCCTCAGTTGCAGAACAAAAAACCCCTCATATAATTTTCCGACGGGCTTTTTGGAGTCACAAGACGGTTATATTTAGCGCACTCAAGAGGCTCTGGGACGTTGCTGCTAATGCTGCTATTGCTACTGATTTTGTTCCGCTGTCGGAGACGGCACCAAAGCATTAGTCCCTGCCCAAGGCGTTGTTCGGCGCCTATTTCGTGTAGCTTCAAAAGGACAAAGGCCAACTGGTGATAGAAACAAGAAGGATGTCCGTTGCTTTATGTTAGGTGCGGCGGTAGTAATGCTGCGTTTTACTCGCCTAGGGACGCCTCGGAGATGGATTTACTGGCACCAGAATGATACGAACATACATTGGTACTATCAGCTAGCCAATGGCGGCAGTCGAAGCAGTGGCCGTCGTAACAGCAATAACACTAAAAAGCCAAGTTACTGGAATAGAAGGAGGTGACTGATATAGCTGCTATAGTTCTGCGCATCTGGGGACCGTCCATGATATGCTTCCAGACCCGCTACATGAATTTCTCGATTCGCTGGATGGTTTGATTTGTCGAACCAGGTTTGGCGTGCGGACTTGCGTTTCACTCAACTTCGTTTGGTGCTCATTGTCTAAATCGTATAATGTCATTGTATGTTAGCATGTTCCACTTACGAGTGTGTATTTCGCTGGCTGTGAATCGACTCCTCTCCAGCTCGATTCATAAATGGCAGACGAGGGGTTCCGATAATCAGAACACGGTCAGAGACAAAACGAGCGTTTAAGTGTGCATCATCAATGTGTTAAGATGGTGCAGTGCTTCAAGTTTTTGCTATTCTATGTACGATTGGTCGTACAATGACGGACAATTGAGTGCACGTACAAGTGTTTCATGCAAACCGAAAAGTTAAAAGCTCATTGAGTTGTATTCTTATTGTTTCAAATAGCCTTGGGCCCACAGTTAAGCAGCACTGTTATTACGACAAGTTAACCATAGATTATATGTACATGCCCTTAATTGTCATTTATTTCTGCGTCTTTCATACTCGCTTTATAAGCGCCTCCTTCGAAGACTATAGGCTTTAATAGCACGACAATTCAGGATCACGCACGATAAGCAGCTACAGCAAACAGGGTTTAGACTGTAGACTTCGAAATATAAAGCGCGCAAAACCAGCACCAACACCGTTATTGGGAAAACAAGCCTAAGTGAGGATTACCTGCTTGAGCTAGTTTCCTTTACTACAGCGGCAGTTGCGGTTAAGAACAATGCAAATACGACCATCTTCTAGCAGTCGTTTACCCCGAGGCTACATTTATATTGGCACAGCACTGAAGTGTAAGGCACAAAGCGACGAATCTATTGGCGGATAAAAGAACTTGCCCGTCGTTGTTATCACCTCTTCGGGAGGGCCACTGGTCAGGTTCCCCGTGTTATGTGGCGCTTTGTGTTTGATTGCCGCTACTGTAGCTGCGGTGACTACTTTCTGACTACTTTTTGCTATGACTCCGAAACCTGTATGGCTCTGAGTTTTATGACCCTCTTAATATGACACTCCTGCTGAAGAGACCTTGCGAGCTGCACAGGCCGTGAATGCAAATCGAATGAAGCCCTTCTTGGTTGCGTAGTATAAGGATAAACCCGTCGAATGAACACATAGTTCTCATTGGCCTTGCACGGTTGCATCCGGTCTAATAGTATCGTCCTCACAAGCTTGGTACGGCGACAGTAATAATGCCGCCCCATCTTCTCTCCCTCTCTGTTGCCGCCTATTAAGAATAACTAACGTACAGATTGTTGTACTCGTAGCGGTGGTAGCGATATCTGTATCCAAACGAAAAGGGATATTGGCGTTATGTGCTTTATTGCTGAAAACCCGCTGTTGTTGCTTCTGCTATTGGTCCAAACCAGAGTGCACTAGCGAGCGTCGGCACCTTCGTCAGCGCCCTTTTTTACCTTTTGTTACTTGTTTTACGAAGCGCGCTTGAGACCGGCTGCTTAGCCACGCTCTCACCACGGCCTGGCACGCCGCGTTAGCGACGCCACTCGTGCTGGCAATACTGTGTTTGCTGCTAATGGTGGCAATTGCAACTGCCTAATATCTTTGTATCAGTCTTATTAGCCGTGCCATAGCAAAAGACCGACACACGAAAAACTAGAATGGATAAGCAGGAGAGAGAAATATTGGGGAAATCGCGATATTAAAGAACAGCGTCGATATAGGCCATAGAAGGATTCCAGCGACTGAGGCACCACTAGTAGCGGTGACAGCCTTCTTTCCCCAATCTAGGACCGATGCGCACTTTTAGTTTCTATAATAATTCGTGCCTCTGTCGGCTGATGCGAATCAAGATGAAGGTGTTGAAGAAAAAGGAAAGACATTGGTCTCTGTACTATGGCCAACTCGGCCGTAGCCACAGGGGAATCCAAACACAGGAAAAAAAACGTAGACTAAGAGGCTTTAGGGCACTTCTTTTTATCCTAGTTTGACTTGCCCCCTTTGAATGAGGAGAGGCAATAGGCCGTCTTGTGGAATATAAATCTTTTCACAAGCTGCCGCAACCATTACTGAGGACACAATCGTTGCCGCTGTCGAACTCGGGCAGAAGGGTTCACCAAACGAGTGCTCCGTCCCACGGCGCTGTTCTCACCTTTTTGCCGAATTGGCTATAGGACTACGCATCCGAAATGAACCAAGACGCTGGTTCAAGTTTTTCATCCTAAGCCTAGTTTTCCATCTCATTAATTTAGACCGAACGAAAAAAAAAAAACAAATGCAAAAACATATACATGGAAAATATAAAATAGCGGCAGGAACAGGAAACGATCTATTAACGCATGTACGACCGGCCGAATCGATTCATGATGCGTCGTAATTCACACACGTAAATGAATACATCTGGGTATAGAAGCTACTGTAAGAGAATGTCTCTTTTCTATACGGCTGGCGTCGCAGTGAACACGACGTGTAAGATGGAAACTTGAAGGAGGTTTAGCAAAAAGCGATATAGGATAAATGTTTAAATATGTGTAGTAATAACGAAGTTCACATAATAGGAAGTGAATAGTTATAGCAATGCTTGCATCAGCAGGGGAAATAGAGGAATCAGCAGGAAGTCGATTTAGTGCTCAACTCCATTATAGGAAAAATTATTGGTTGTTCCTTTTCGAGGACAGATACATTTGTGTGTGTGTACTTCTTTCTTCTTCAGTTAGGAAACTTGACTATACTGGTCCGATTTAGACACGCAATGCTTTTGTTGGAGAGCTTCGGCACAGCCGACACACATTGGCAACAGTTTACGGTGAGAGAGTGTTCCAGTCTCGAAGAAGCTATCATATCCTTACCATCTTCGCCGTTCTTCATCTTATTCTTCCACTTGTTTCCTTAATTAAGATGCTGCTATCGCCAGTTACTCAAAGACGCGCATCTGACGTGATGCGTTGGTACTGATTCGGATTTTCTATCGACCACGCCGATTTAAAAGTGAATGGATCTGTTTCCACCACTTGTCGCCCTTGCGTAGCCGTTGCATTCTGCAGCTCGTGGTCACCTCTTCCCGCGCGGTCGGGTCTATGGACTGATGGCGTCCTTTCCAAGTGTCCTCAGGCGACGCAAAAGAATTCGAGATACTGTTAGAAACTGAGGCGCGGCATAGTGAAGAGTATAGGGAAATATGGAACACGTAGAGATTTAAACAGGAAGAAAAATCACGGAAGATGCAAAATGAACGAGACAGGTCTCTTCTCAGGGAAAAAATCAATGGTGATCTCAGTCTTGTTCACATGTACACGAACAGAGCAGAAGGAGACAGAGAAGTCCTCTTCTATTCAAGATAGATATCAAACTTCCGGCTTGGGTTCGATTCAGAAAGAAGTCTGCTTGTCTTCGTAGAATCTATTCGATTCCTGCTAAATCTATTGAATGTGGTCTTACCAGTGGCTGAAGTTTGCTGAAGGGCTTTACGAAATTTATTTACGAAACCCAGAAGTATTGGAATTCGCGCTAATCGTGGAACATATTACACAGGAAATAGTGTATTACAGGTAATACAGGAAAAAGATGAACTATCGCGTATTGCCTATCGCTTTGACCATCGTAGGCCAAATTTCTCTCAAAGCGACCGACTAGCTGACCAAGGGTTGATCCTCACTTTCATTTCGATTTCACAAGGGGAAAATGCATCCAATGCATACAAACACCGGAGAGGGCAGGATACTGGCCTCAAAGGTCACAGCCGCGAATACAGGTGAAAGTGAAGCTTAGCTGGTCGAGACGATACGACAAACATACAATACATGCATAAAGGGACCTAGACAAACTCTACGGGCACCAATAATATTTCGCTTACAATCGACAGGAAAAGCAACGTTGAAAACTGAGCCGCATACTAAAG